TTCCCCCCCTTTTTTTTTTTTTTTTTTTTTTTTTTTTTTTTTTTTTGAGACAGGGTTTTTCTGTGTAGCCTTAGCTGTCCTGGACTTGATTTGTAGACCAGGCTGCCTCGACATCTGCCTGCAAATCCTTCCCCAAGTGCTGGGATTACAGGCATATGTGACCAGCTGTAATAGTTGTTTTTTTTTTTTTTTTTTTTTTTTTTTTTTTTTTTTTAAGTAAGCACGTTTATACCAGCTATGTCTGGTCAATGTGGCCTGGTGTTATAATCTCTCAGGATCAATTTGGTATAAATAATTTTTCCCTTAAAGCCCATGTCAGCTCAAAGACCCCCAACCCTCTCTCCCATAGAGACAGCATTGGAAATTGTGCCATTTTTCCCAAGTATCACGGCAAGAAACCTTCTGAAGGGATGTTTGATTAGCAATGTATTTGAAAAGAAGGTGCAGTGTGAGAGCTGAACATTCTAGAAGACATGACCTTCAGGAGCAAGAGACCCTGGCAGCAGAGGATTCTGGGAAGGTATGGATGCAGAAAGCAAGAAATTCTAGGGTCGGGAGGTAAACCTTGAGCCGTGGGATTCTGGGAGAGTGTGGATGCTGAGGGCAGGAGCCTCCTGGGATGACAGTATTCTACAAGGTTGGGAACCTGGGAACTGGTGGCTCAGAAGAACCACACGTAGGCCTGAGGACTCACCTTCAGGATCACCCACTGCATGAGGCCCAGATAGTAGAGAATGGACATGACACAGCTGAAGAAAACAATGATGGGCAACACCTGCCGGAGAACAGAGGATCGTGGGTTAGAGGTGTGGGGCGGGCCCAAGGAGCCAAAGCCTTGTCTCTCAGAGGTCTGCCAAGAGCAGGGAGAAGCTCTGGGGTCAGTGCTGGAGTCCCAGGTGATCCTGGGGGGAGGGGCTCCTTACGGGACTGCTGATTCCCCTGTTCCTAGTGGGCCATCGGAAGGCCACCCTTTCTCTTTCCCCAACACAGGCCCCTGCTGGGCTCTGAGAGGGGCTGCCTTTTACCATCTGCTTCTTTACCTCTAGTGTGAAGAGAACTCCTTAGGATTGTCATGAAGGGTAAAGGAGCTGGCTCAGCTCTGGCACACTCGTGAACTCTCCTTCTGGTCTATAACTCTGGCCTGGGTGGGCTTCTCCCCACTGAGGGTCCAGTTTAGGGGACCCTCCTTATGGTGGTTTTCTGCTTCTGCTCAGGGCCATCCAGCTTGGAGCAGACTTATCCTGGCCCTGCCCTTAGCATCTCATCCTGTCACCTTCCTTTTCAGTCATGTCAGAACCCTCAAACCCATTCCTTCCCTTCCTACCCTGGGGCTTTCTTACATCAGCTCTTTTATTTATTTCTTTTTTGGGGGTGGGGTGGTTCAAGACAGGGTTTCTCTGTGTAGCCTTGGCTGGCCTAGACTCGCTCTGTAGACCAACTTGGCCTCAAACTCAGAGATCCTACTGCCTCTGCCTCCCGAGTGCTGGGACTGCAGGGGTGCACCACCACACCCAGCTGATTTATTTATTCTTAAAGACTTGTTGTTTCTATTGTATGGAGGAGTCTCAGCACTCTGGCAAGACAATGCCTAAGACAGACTTTTACAGTTAGTAAGACGCCTCACTAGGTAAGAGCAATGGCAGAGGAACAGTGTGGGCACAGACCAAAGCCAAGTAACGCTGAGAAAGAACAAGGGAGGCCAGGCTAGCAGGGAAGGCTGAGGGGCTGGTTAGTAGTGATTTGGGGAGGGAGAGTCTTGCAGTCTCTCTCTAGAACAGGTAGATGGTCATAGGTGGCAGCAAAGCTCTGCTCCCACAGCCCAGCTGAGGATGAGAAAGGAGTCTGGCTGAGGGTGCCCCTCCCCCCTCCCAGTTAACAGCACAGGCCTTCTCTGGATTTGCTCTACTCCATCCCCTGCTGCTGGGGATGTCACATGACAGGAAGCATAGGTTCTGGCTTCAGAAACCCTGCCTCTGCCCCCTAACTCCTCCTTACCAATTCCTGGAGCTGGAACTACTCACAGCCCAGGGTGGTGACATCATTCTGCTCCCCCAGAAGCCAGATCTGCGTGCTGTCTAGTCTGCTGATGCTGTTAGCCACGTGAGGGACCCCAGGGCAACAGCCCCAGGCTCAAGCCAGGAAGACATGTCCAGGATGGCAGAGTGGGCATCAGAAGGCATGCTCTAACCACAGACAGTAGCTGCTGGTGAGAGGGAAGGTGCATTTGGGCTCAAGTGGTGAACGGCAAAGGAAGGAAGGAAAATGGGAGAGACGAGAAGTGGTCTCAAGGTAGCTTGGTAGTAAAGCATTTGCCCAGCCTGTGAGGCCCAGGAGCTCCAGCACCAAAAAGAATAGAAGAGAGACACAAAGGGAAAGAAGGAAGGAAGGAAGGAAGGAAGGAAGGAAGGAAGGGAAGGCAGGCTCTAATTTTCTAATTCTAAGGTAGTATATGTTATAATAATCCCTGTGGCCAGTATGATCTCACAGCCTAAGAACCACCTTGGACCTGGGATAGCAGTCAAGCAGGTAACTCGGGGCAGGGATACTGAGGAAGGATGAGAGAAGGACATTGATGCCTACTGTGTGCCAGATATCCGCTGAGAAACCTCAAAGCAAGTGAGGTGGGTGTGTACCTAGCTGCACTAAACCAATGGGTACACTGAGGCTCTGAGGTGTGTGGCCCCTGTGCAAGGTCACACAATTGAGACCCCCTAGCTGCCAGGAAGGTTGCCAAAGTCCTGTATGGCTGAGGGCATTTGCCCTGGAGAAAGCTTGTTTCTCTGCATTCAGGGCTGCACGTGTCCCAGCTGTAGGCTGAATCTCCAGTCTCACATGATGAAGCCTAAGCCCAGATGACAGGATTAGAGAGTCATCAGAGTGAAGACCTCATGAATGGGGTCCGCTCCCCTTAAGCAAGAGGCCCCAGAGTGTTCACTCTGTCTTCAACCATGTGAGGGGAGGGGAAGAAAAGGAGGAGGAGGGGAGAGGAGGAGAGGGGAAGAGAAGGGATGGGAGAGGAGAAGAGGAAAAGGGAAGGGAGGGGAGATAGGAGGGGAGAGGAGAAGGCAGGGGAGGAGAGGGAAGGGGAGAGGAAGGGAAGGGAAAGGAGAGGTATCTATGACCCGGAAGGATTTCTTATCAGAATGTGACCATGGTGGCAGTGGCACTCTGCTTTCCTTTCCAGCCTCTAGGGCACTGAGGCATAAATTCCTGCTGTTGGTGACCCAGTAGGAATCATCCTAGCATCCCGTACTCTGAGGACCATTGCTCCAGAGTCTCCACCGCACCCCTTGGAACAATTTCATCCTGCCTGGAAATCAAACCTATTCAAACTGGCTCTCTTTCCTCAGCCATCCCATGTCCTTCCTTTCAGCCTTCCCGCTCAGTCTTCGCTCTCTTCCCACCCGTCTCTGAAAACTGTGTTGATTTCCTGAGGGGGTTAGAGTTCACCTTAGGAAGACACCCCCAAACTCTGGGGAGATAAAAAGTTTCTTTCACCTTAGGAGCTCCTCATGGGGAGGAGTTGAACAATACCGCTTAACTGAGTAGGTGGGGCCCATGCCAGAGGCTGTGAGAGGAGGAGGGAGTGTGTGATCTTAGGTCAGCCGGGCCCAGCCAGCAAGCAGGAGCTGGGGTGTGAGGAGGGGGGCACAGGGGGATTGGGTGGAAAGTTACTAGAACTGAGATGGAGCCAAAGCGGGGGTGGGGATGGAGGGGTGGGTGGGAAGATGACTAATGAAGTGGATACAGCCAGGAGGGGGACACGTGGACCATGTGGGACTCTGGGCCCAGGAGAAGCAGAAGGCTAAGAAGTCCCAGGGTGACTCCACTTCCTGGAGAATAGATGATTTGGACTAAGTCCCAGCAGGAGACAGCCTGGGTTCTAAAAATCGGCAGGAGCTTGGGGAAGGCTTCCCAGAGTGGACACTGGCCAGAGGCTTGGACTAGAGTCTGTGGTTCGCAGGAAGCGCCCTGAGTTCAACTCAGCACCCAACAGAGACACCCTACTTCAAGGGCAAGTCCCAAGGTTGAAAGGTGTGTGTGTGTGTGTGTGTGTGTGTGTGTGTGTGTGTGTGTGTGTG